TCCTGAATCTTAGTGTTTGTTGTTTTTGCTTTTACTTTCCTTTCCGTTTGACAAGTTAAGATCAACACAACGCATATTGTATTCAAAGTTGGATGTGGCTCGCCTTCTAAGGTTTGAAAGTGGCGAGGACGGGACCGAGTTAGGCAGGTTAGCCGGCTATTATCCTGGCCTTAAAACAAGACTAAACACCAACTGTCCAATGTCCACTGCTGACCAACTGTCCAATGTCCGCATAAACAAAGTCTTTAGCAAGAAATATATCAGCATTGCCTTCGATCTTAACTTGTCAAGAAAATGCTGAAGAGAGATATCTATTTATCAGTCTGCCTTTTGATCTCGACTCTGACCAGCAGTTGCAAGGACTAAACATGGTGTTTGGGACCAAGAAATACTCCTTCCTTGTAAACGAATGCAAGGGTTCATTTTCAAGGCAAATACCCATGGGAATCGACACTAAAGAATGGGCAGTAGTGGTACAACACTAGAGATGGATAGCTAGCGAACCAACCCAGCAAGGGTTCCATGCTAACTTTTTGGAAAGTCATGCTCAAAGCCCTGCATAAATGAATAACAAACACAACAAAGGGCAGGCCAACAAGGTGCATATTCAAACCAAATTATCCAATATTTGCTCCGTGATAGCTGTCTTCAATCATATCAAAAAACTTCCAACTTTTAACAGCACACTCCTGCTCCCACATTGAGAAAAAGGTTGAGCACTTCGTACTAACATCGTTGTCACTTGTCACAGGCAAACCCTATCTAAAAAGGACCCGACTTTTCATCTGTCCTTGTTGGTAGGCAAGGAGTGTGAGTCACCTCACAAATTGGGCAAGAACATGTTGTGCACTGCATTTACAGTAGGAAGCTTTATGAATAGAAAAAGATTGGTTTAATCACTTCCGTGTAAAAGAGAAGGGGGCTATGAGGCCTATGAGCCTGCCTGTTCTGTAAGACCCAAAACCTCTTTCTTCCTTTTCTTCAGTTTATTCCTAGATTATACAGTACTGGTATAACGAACCTTGGACTTGAAGTACTTGCTCCACTAAAAGATCCTATTGACTTACCTGCGACACCATAACTTCCACTGTGAATTTGTCATGGGAATTGGTATATGGGAGCAGACGGCTAACAAGAATATCTTGTACAATATTCACCATCCATCTCACGAGTAGAAATTTGGAGACAAGTTTATCTCACTAACCGACTCAATCCAACCTCTCCATCCCAAAATTTGTGGCGGACTAAACTGCTAGGGTTCGACAACGAAATTAAATTCGGGAAGGGGAAGGAAAACATAGTCGTTAATGCTCTCTCTAGAATACCCAGGAATGAGCTCAATGCACTAGGTTTATTCATAGTTTTCACTTGCTTTCAGACATCAAGTCATGGGAAAGGTATGCCAAGGCGGAGTCTATTATCCAGGACTGCTTGCTACACATCCTCATTATAAGTGAGTTAGGTTCATTTTATCAGAAGGCGCAAACTGGTGGTGGATAATAATCTTGTGCTGTAAAACATGTTAATAGCCATCTATCATGATATTGCTTTAAGGGGTCACTCAGGTTCTACAGTCACGGCTAAAAAAGATTGGTAATGTATTTTATTGGAAGAAACAACAAAAACAGGTGAGGCAATTTGTCAGGGAGTGCTTTTAGTGTCATAGGTACATGTTTGAGAATGTGGCTCGTCCAAGGTTACTACAACCTTTGTTTATTCTAGAGGCATCTTCTACGCATGTTTGTCAAAATTTGCAGTTAAAGAAGTCGTATTTGTAATGGTGCATAAATTTAGTACATGTGTACATTTTATGGCGCTTTCAGATCCCTGCCAGTTTAATAGCTAAAATTTTTATGGACTCGATCGGTCTATAAACTTCATGGTCCCCCTGCCATCGTAGTTGGTGATCGAGACTGAGTTTTTCAAGTTTTGGAAGGAATTGTTTACTTTCTAAGGGGTCGACCTATACTACACCACTATCAATTGGGCAAACCGAGATAGTCAACAAATATGTGAAGAACTATTTCAGATGCATGACAAGAGATATCCATTCACAATAGTGTAACCAGGGACGGAACAAAACATAAAATTAAGGGGGTCAAAATAAAAATACATGACAAGAAATTTGTGCGGTGTCTTATAAAAATACTTAAAATAAATTTAAAGAAGGCTGGAAAAATATTTTCCTTGCAGGGGCCCAGCCTCCCCTGTCCCCGCCCAATGGTGATATAGAGTTGGTACAAACTTCCCTAAAGACCAAACTCCCCCCAAAACCCCCCCCCCCCCCAGAAACAATAGACAATTGCCTCAATAAAAGGGAACAAATGCTACAGATAATCAGGCAGAACTTGGTCAAAGCACATAATAGAATGAGGCAATTAGCAAACAGAAAGAGAAGTGAAAGTTTTTGAAGTAGAAGACTTGGTCTATAGCCCTCCAAGCAAAAGTCAGTACCACAGCACAACCAACACAAGTTAGCAGCTGAGTATGATGGTCCATATACAATTATCGAGAAGATTAGAGAAGTTTCTTACTAGTTAAATCTTCCTTCCTCATCGACAATCCACCCTGTCTTCCATGTCTCCCAATTGAAGAGGAACCTGGGAAACAAAATGTTGCACACTAAATTGCCCGATTGGCCCCTTAGGCAATCTTGGATCGAAGACCAGTCAGAGGGGGTCAACAGGCTGCAACTCAAATCTTAGTCCATTGGCAAGGGTTGTATCTCCCTCTGAGGCAACATGGGAATTCATGGATGAAGTGAAACTCAGATTTCTATCATTCAACCTCGAGGCAAAGGTGTTTCTGAAAGGGAGAGAATTGTTGCAGGTGAATTTGGCTAATGAGGATTGCCAACGAGAAGAAAACAAGCCGAAGGGAATATTTGAAAAGAAATGACCGTTGCTAAGTGAATAGTTAATCGCAACGCACCGTATCAGCCCAATCCTTCCTTCTATTTATGCGCACTGTTTCAATAACAAGTGTAAATTACCTGTACTGAGAAGAATGCTAAATTAACATTCAATTATTCTGATTAATTGCTTTATATATGCTATCAGTTGTAACAAAATGAATATCGACAAAAACAAAAAAAATAAGAACAAGAATTAATCCAGTTATGGGTTCTTCTCCTCCTTCCTCTCCCTACCTCTCTCCAACTTCTCTGGCATCTTCTTCCTTTCTCTCTTAACTTAGCTAACCAAACACGAGCACAATCACTCCACTAGATATTCAACCCAGATAGGATATTTCTTAATTGTGTTTTCTCCAAGAGAGAGAAATTTTACATGTGCTTCAACAGATTCTAGTAAGTAATTGTGTTGTCGAAATCTGCTCTTCCTTTTTTCTATTTCGATTGGAGTTGAGGGCAAAAGTTCCTTGATTTCTTTACATCTGTGGTTTTCTGCAGCCGCTAGCTAGTGTCCATCATCAATCATTGTGTTAACCTATTAGCACCAATTATTCAGTCCTTTCTCATGTTCACCGGCAAAAATCAGCGCATTCATACAGTACCCCCCATGTGGCATGATCAATCCAACTACATGCCAAAAGTTCAGTCCCCTGTTAAAATATAGGAGAGGTCTCTCCCTTATCACCAGAGGAACATCATGACAAATTCACGAGTTAAGGAAAATTAGTGACCTAGTCATGTTCATTAATTAAACAATGACACTTAACTGACACCTTGGAAACTAGAGTTTAAGAAACGTATTCAAAATCCAAGATTTTTTCAGCGACAATGCCGTAACTACGATAAAAGTCGCAACAACCTGATCCATGTGATGTGAATATGCCGATTATTGAATTATTGCTCGAATCATTGCAAGGATGATCTTTCTAACATTCCAAATTGCTCTCATCTCATACTGTAATGACAGATTTGATTGAACAATTCAATCAAATCTGTCATTCCTTAGCAAAGATCAGCCCAGATCACCTTTGTGCTTGCAGTTCAAAAGATAGAGCTCGCATGCAATCTTAATCAGAATAGCAACTTTCACATCCTGAAGTTTCTTATATCCTGCTGTTAAAACCCTTAAATGGTGGCCAACACTCGCATAGAATCACAGCCGCCCAACATTCCCAGCCTTGGAAAGGTCGTCTCCACAACATCACATGAACTCTGAGTCTCATATCAACCAGCTCATTTCGGGTGTCATAGTCATCCAAACAAAGCGCTCTCCCTGTCAGCAGAGTCATTTATTTACCAACAAAACCTCCAAAGCAATAGCTTCTTGGCAGCACCTGCATTCGGCTTACTACTTGTAGAACGCTTTCCATAACCTAGAAATCCGTAAGTAAAACCCCAGAAGAAAGCAAGAACAAGAGCTCAGCTAGGGATCCATCATTGTTTCTTCTCCTATAATCTGCCGTCTGAAACCATGATAGATTCAGGGACCTGCAACCACACGACAAGCACGTTCTGTAGAGCTACATCGTATTCACCTCCAACCAGTTCACTTGAACTATATGTTTGCATAAAAGTCGCCATTCAAATTGAGGAAACAATAAACAATATCTGACCAAGAAGTTCACTGAGAAAAAGAACCACGAAGAAAAAAACTACAAAATCAGTCATGTCGACTACAATAACACGGAAAACTTCACTGCAATACCCATGTCTGTATTTAGGAAACTCAAGGAGGATTCTCTCTAATCAACCAATTTGAATTGTGTTACAGCTCATAAAATTGCCACTAACCATAAGAAATTAGTTAGTTCAAAGCAAGCACAACCTAACCAAAAAACTTGCTCTGGCACACTGCACTAACCCTAAGTCTCATCATATCCTATCCAAGCAATACAGCGAAGAATTAAGATACGAAAAAACCAAATAACACGGCCTTGCTTTCTATTTCTAAGAACACAATCAACCAACCAAACAAACTAAAAGTCAAAATTCCCCTGGTAAATTTCCTCCAAAACAAACATCATCACTAATCACCTATCCCATCACAATACGGCAACCCCCCCCCCCCCCCCAAAACGGCACCCCCCCCCCCCCCCAACTCCCTAACCATGCTAGTAGTAAAATAACTCAGAAATAAAACTTGAATAGCCACTATCCTACCCTTTATCCATTGGCTTCGCAACAAGTAACCCCATCATCTGCTTCTGCCTCCTCATCTCCACAACCTTCCTATGCGAATTCGAGTGCAATTTGCTGGAGAACGTTGGACTATTTGCAGGTCGGTACTCAGGCACCAATCTACCAGACTTGTATCTCACCCCACAAGCATTACACAATGTTTTAGGTCCATCTGGACCTGCCCGCCATTGTGGAGTCTTTTCAACACCACAATGCTGACATTTTCTCCCCAATTTTGCTACTGACTCAGCCGGTTTCCTCGTGAAATTTTCCTGACTCCACCAACACTCTTGCTCTTGGATTTCTCGAGGGTGTCTATGGTGGCGCTTGCTACGGGCCTTAACAGGCACGCGAAGTCGACAGGAACTCATAATAATGTTACTATTACTGCTATTGCCACTGTTGCTGGTGCTACTAGTAGTGCTGTTTTCGAGCACGGAAACTGGGCTGTGGTGCTTGGGAATGCTGCCTGGCTCACCGGAGAGGCTACCGAAGCAAGTTTCGACTGTTGGGAACGCATCTTTGTTGGATAACCATTCCAGATCTTCCTCTGCAAATTCCTGGGATAAAGCGAAAATGTCAACAAATAATCAGTAACTCAAAAGTCAAAACCCCCATATTTTGACAACATAAGAATGTTCCTGAGTTGACTCAACTGGTCAACTCAAGAACTCGGAATTAAACATGGTAAGAAAATTATAAGGACGCTGGGGGCCCTGTTGTCTTTTCAATAGGAGTGGCCGCGTGACAAACTTGCAAGACTATAAATGACAAGGATAAATTTATTGACTACAACTACAACCTTGTGAAATACAGCTCATAACGATAAAGACTACAAGTTGGCATTAAATGTCCAAAACACCCTTCAAACTGCCGTACTATTTGTGAATAGAGTCAAGAGTTCGATGTGGTCAAAATTCTCCTTTGCAAAACTGTTTGAACAAGAAAATTCAACTAGCACCATTATTCGAGGCCATCCAGTTTGACTCAGCAGAGCCACATCATGCCGAGTCAAAAAAACTCGGCCGCTATCCCGGACAGAGTCGCCCGAGTCGACTCATAACAACCCTGAACCGAGCCGAGTCAGACAGGGTCTAGCCTTAGGGAGGGCGAAAACCGCCAGAGGCCGCAACTTTCGGCCTCAAGAACCCATGAAAGGAACACCCAGATAAGAAACTTACAGGTAATAAACTATGTTCCAAAACGTTGAAAGAAGCCGGGTGAAGGTCATTAGGGTTAAGGGAAGGAAGTGCCCTTCTGGATTTTTTGCTGTTCCTCTGGTGCTCTTCACCATCCTCTTCCTCTCCTATATCAGAACAGAAGTCCAAAAGGTCATCCATGAAACAAGCAGCCGTGTCTAGAGACTCCATTTCTTCGAAGAAAAAGAAGAAGCAACCCAAAAAGGATTTTGTTTATCGTTTGTTTTCAATAGAGAGAGGGATACTTGGCGTTTTGAGGGAGAGAGAGGACGTCTCTCGTTTCTTTTGGCTAATATTATCTCACGATGAACTCGAGGATTTTTTCCTTTTTTTTCCCTTTATTGGTGGGAACGAGGGGTCTTTTTTTTTTCTTTTTATCTTTTTACATTTCTTAAATCATTTTGGTTGATTTTGTAACGACTAGTGGGTTTGGTTAGGTAGGGTAAGGTATTCACTGTTTTTTTATTTCAGATAAATATATTAAAATAATATTCTGTTAGATTTATTAAAAAAAATTCAAAAAACAAAAAAAAAATATTTGAAACTAGGAAACAAATCTACATAAAATGACGCTTTTCTATTTACCTCGTATAAAAACAAAAGCATGTACAAAAAACAGGAAACATGCACGTTCAAGGAGATAAGCATTGGCCCTGGAAAATAAAAATAAATATAAATTAAAGAATCATGAAATTTATCAACAACCCAGTGTCCTTTACAATTTATATTCTCTACGCGTTTAGCTGTGCAGTAAGGTGTCGTTATTACATATTCAATGTAATAGGCATGGGAGTTTGCTCCTTACACTATCATTTAAGACTTTATTTTTAAGAGAGCTTGCTAACAAAATAATTTTAATGCTTCCCAGATTAGCTTTCAATGCGGGCATAAACGTAAATAAGGTAAAAAGGGAGTGCGTTAGGGTAAGAAAAGATACTTCTTGATACGTCCCTGTTTGGATTGCGTCCAAAACAAAGGTCCATGGAATTTTAATTTTTTTAATTTATTCTGATATAATAATACTAAAATAAATTTAAAAAATAAAAATAATAATATGAGGCCGCTTACGCAACGGTCAGGCCTCAAATGGGACGGTCATTACAAAGCGTGAAATGCATGCCTTCCAATAAGGTCCGCCACCCACGTCACTGGACCAATTACATATTGACACGTAGAGACATGGAAAATGAAAAATCCCCCAGCTTTTGACCTCCCAGACACCGCACGTAGCGGCGATGATCTTGTGATCCCTCGACCAGGCACCTGCTCTGCACTAGGTACTTCAGTTGAATGGGTTTAGTGATGTACTTAGGAAGAAGTTTGCAAAAAAAAAAAAAAATGGGTTTAGTGATGTACTTAGGAAGAAGTTTACAGAAAAAAATAATAATAATAATTTAATTAATTTTTTAATAGTAAAGTAGAAATTGTTTTTTTTTAAAAAAATTACTTCAAAGTATTTTAAAACGCTATTTTTTATTTTATAAAAATTATTTTAAATATTGAGACATTTTAAAAATAAAAAACAATTTGAATTAAAAAATATATATTTTAAAGAAAATTCAGTTAAACTGTGACGACACAAGTACAAATGGTATAATTTTGAGCCCTTTGATTTATTTTTGTGGGACCCTTTTGCATGTGCATAGACGGGGTCCACCCATCGCGCGTTACCCATTTGGGATGATGACAGGTGGGTAAGGAGATGGGGGTTGGGTTGTCGTGTTCTTTCTTTCATGAAGGCGAGAGTCACGTGCTGTTCATGAGAATCACTGAAAAGCTACAGCATAAAAATGATGTTTGTAAATACATTGGAGATTTTTTTTAATAAAATATTATTTTGTTTTGAAATATATTAAAATAATATTATTTTTATATTAATATATAAAAATATTTTAAAAATACTATAAATTTTAATTGAAAATAAAAAATCCTAATTTTTATGAAAACCAGGTTAAATATCAATTCTAAACGCTCTAGAGATTGAATAAATTGCCCCTGTTTTCGTTTTTCAGAATACTAATATTCAAATGATCAAATCCCCTTGGTCACGGTTAGATCAGGTGCTGTACAGACGTGATTACCAAATGTTAACTTTAATATCTGAGACTAAACCCATCTTATTAGTTATATTTATATAACCTTTGTAATTGCATTCCAAACCATTTTTTTTTATAAAAAAATATTTAAAAATATTTTTATATTTCTAAAATTATTTTAATCTAATAATATAAAAAAATAAAAATATATTATTTTAATATATTTTCATACAAAATACACTTTAAAGCACTACAACATTTTTAAACTCTTCCCTATCCTAGCTAAGAAAGATAATAGGGGGTTTTCGTTATTTATATCTTAATTCAAACTCAAAATAACTACTCAACCCATATGCAGGGGCGGAACCAGAGGGAAGCAAGAGTTTGTACCCTATAAAATATTTTGATTTTTTTATTTTTTATTTAAATATGTAATATATAATATTTTTATTTTAAATAAATAGGTCATGTAATAATATAACTTGTTATATTAATTTTGGTCTCCCTTATAAATTACTGTCATTTTCGCCCCTGCATACGAGGATGAAAATTTAATACTCGAGCACAGCTTAATTGGATTTTAAGTATTTATCGAACAACTATAACTCAGATTTGAACCCTACTCAAATCCCAAATACTATAATCTATAATTAATTAATACATAATTAGTTTAATATATATTTATTTTTTTAAAAACTCTAAAGTTATTTATTTATTTTGAGCCGGGTTACGGTTTTAGATGAATATTTATACCTAAACTAACTTAACCTTTTACCTTTAGTTTTACCCTAAACCAGATTTGAAACTTAATCACATCTAAAACACTCTTATCTGTTTGAGTTAGGTAGAATTTTTTATTTTCAGTATTAGTGGATCAACATAATAATTCGTTGACTTTAAACTTTGTGCAAGTCGAGATTTTTTTAACTAATTTTTTTACCAAAATTTTCGCTTTTTTTTTTTTTAAAAAAAAAAATCCTGCAAGACTTGGGCACTTTTAAACTTGATTAAAGAGAGCTTATCACGTTGAAATAAAGGGAAAAAGAATATTAAAAAAAATTCCGTTTGTATCAAAGTGCTTTAGGTCTCCGGTGGCCTGCCTGCCCACACAACTACTGGCATGAAGCCCAATGAATTTGTCCACCTTATAACTTTCAAGAGATCCATGATGACTGGGGCCCAAGTACCATGGTCCTCAATTTATGTCATCCCCATGTCCTGCGTGCTTCCTCAGGCATTCAAATTCATTTTTGATGCAACTACACCATTGCTCTTTTTTGAGATTTGGTTATTTTTAGGTTTTAAAAGTGTTTTTGAAAGAATATAAATTTGTTTTATTTTTTAAAATTATTTTTTTATAATGTTTTGATATCTTAATGTCAAAAATAAATTTTAAAAAATAAAAAATATTTTAATATATTCTCAAAAAAAAAAAATTAAAAAATAATATCAAACAAGAACTTAGTCAACAATTCTCAAAAAAATAAAAATTATCTTCTTGAATGCATCTAATTGAAATGAAGATATGTTTTAAGACCATGTTTCTCGGAAAAAAAATATACTTAATCTCAATTAGAATATAAATTATTCAAAAGTACCCTCAAATGGTGAAAAAAACCCTATTGTGCCCAACATAATTCAAATTTATTAATGTATGAATTAGTAATAAATCTAACATAATCAAAATTAAATCAGAGCCCACATCGAAATTTATCAAGACCAATGGGCTTTCCTCAATTGAGCTAGAGCTTGAAAAGACTGGACTACAAGTCCTATGCCATTCAGACTCTTTAACCGAAATAAAAAAAGCCTGGATACCCAACGTCGTCGTTTTGTAATAAAATTTATCATTTTATCTTATTGGACACGTGGCATAGAGTACAACGTCCGCCCTGTAAAAACACAGAAACAAAAATTCAGCTGAAATTTTTTACCGTTACACTGATTAGAGCGGTAGAAGGAATAAAGAAGCTTCGCGTATATAAACCAATCTCCATCGAAGACTAGAGGAGCTAATATGAATCTGTGAAATTTTTTTTAGAAGAAAAGTTGTAAAAGATGCAGGGGCTGACCCTTTCAAAAACACCACTAACTTCAAATGGTAGCAGCACCAAACCTCCATTACTGCTTTTGGTGGATTCATTACCATGTTTTGCTTGCATTTCTAGAAAACCCATTTCAACTTCGTGTAAGTTTTTCTGTTTATTCATTTCGGTATCCCTTTGTGCTTCAAAAACTGAATCTTTGTTAAGAGGAAATGATAAAGCTGCTTACTTGACTGATAGTTTCTGTTCCTTTTCAAATGTGTGTTACCAATTAAGTGTTCTAAAGTGGAATTTTGGCTTGCTGCGCTAAATAGTTTAGTTGGTATACCTAGGAGAATGGATACACAGTGAATTTTATCTTAGGATGAGGTAGAGGATAAGAACTTAGCTTGGGGATACTGGGTTTATTCTGTTGTTTTGATTATCTTGTTTTTTGGATGTTTGCTGGGATTTAAGGGTGGGTGTCTGTATATATGCTGGAACATAAAGGGTGTGGAGTTGCAATTGAATGGCTCCATCAATCATGAATATTTGATGGTTTTGTTTATCTGAATGAATGATAAAATGTAAAGAGTCCAACTAGCTAGACCCTATTACGACATGAATGTGCGACAATGTTCATGTTTTGTCTCCTGTGCATTGTGTGCTATTAAGTAAAACTCTCCAACTCATACGGTCAGGCTGAAATAATATCGAGGTATAATTGTGGAGGCTATTGAGTGCCCCCTTTGGGTTTTAAAATAGTTCATGGAGAAGCATTCTTCGTTGATGCTTGTGCCACTAAAAATTGCCGTGCATCTTGTTAATATATTTTAATCTCTTTTGTATGTATTTACATCATTTCTATTGTCAGTTATTTTGGTGTTGAGTTAGTGGGTAACATGTTCTTTAATAGTAAGACGCAGAGAGATCTCAAAGTTGAATTCCAGATCCGGCACATTCAGAGCACAGGCATCCAATGTTGGTATAGGATCTGGGGGCTATGAAGGCAAGGAGGAACAAGACAACCAGAAAAGTTTTGTCAACGGTCCACCTGGTGATAACTTACCTGAAATGTAAGTGATATGAAGAAATACTGATTCTTATAAAGCTACAATCTGGTAAACATTTGTGTTGTTTAAGCCATAATGATGCACTATGAATTTCTCTCCTGGAGATAACCAGTTTTTATGGCACTGCAAACTTCATATAGATATCTCTGATGAGTGATTTTGTATTTATCAACATTTGCATGCACAAATGGAAGGAGAATCCTTGAGTGTTTCTATTACATAGTAGCTCTTCAAAGTGGAGCTGGCAACCGTT